AAAAAAGAAAGAAGATGGAGGTGGTATGTTGGGCAACTGCTGTCTACAACCTTACCCAGGTATTAGCTGAGCCTTCCATACACTATTTCTGTGATCCATGTTTGTCAAATGGTACTCCTGATGCTGTGATATCCTTTCTATTAGCTGTAGCCTGAAAACTGCTGAAGACGTTGATAGTAGGAATAATGGCTCAGAAATTGGCATTGGGAGATATTAAAGCAGCCAAGATTTGAATCATTTACTTCCTTTTGGGGTCCTCTACCAAGAAAAAAGAATTAGGAATAGAAGAGAGAGAAAGAAAACTTAGATCTTAAAAACAAAAACAAAACAGTAAGATAGTTGGTTTGGGAAAGAATATATTTTAGCTGGTGTACGTTAGAGGCTGTGACTTCGTCAGCTACCTGTTAAAAGACTTTTTTGTTTAAAGTCTTATATTTAATACGTAGGTTAAAGAGTTTTTGTTGAAAGAGCATATTTTTTCACTAATGATTTCCATTCATAGTTTTGATTTTATTGGAACCTTGACAGTGATTTCTAGAGTGATTGTAGAAAATAATGATTTATGAATTCTTATTTCTGTATAAAATTCTGCTATCTGGTAGAGAATTCAGCCTAGTGATGGCCACTTTCTTCAGAGTTTATCCTCTCAACACCTGTATATTTGTGGGACAAAAGATGAGAACATGACACCATTATCTCACTTAGGATCTGGTTCCAGTGCCAAACGCAACATCATAGCAAGCTCTGATCCCTTTTTGGAGTTGGTTGATGCTATCATCCATAGTTCTTCTAAGATTGTAGATATATTCAAGGACAATATTAAATATGAGTATTGTACATTGTAAGAAAGTTGCTTAGGGATGTTGATAGATGTGGTAACTGAGCATCTCCATTGTGTCATGCACTGTCACGCTTTAGTTATCTCATTTGATGCGTACAAGAACCTCGTGACGAAGGAGGCTTGAGTGTCATCTCCATTTTACAGCTGCAAAAACAGGCAGAGAGGTGAAGTAAAAATTCTGGTAGTTGGTTACATGGTAGACTGCTAACCACAATGTCACGAGTGCAAACCCATTAGCTGCTGTAGGGGAGAAAGGTGAGGTTTTCAATGCTCTGCTAGAAGATTTATAGCCTTTGAAACCCAAAGTGGCAGTTCTGCTCTGCCACTGTGACTTGAATGGATTAGATGTGAGTTTTACAATTTTTATTTACTTATTTTTTAAAGTAATTTTATTGGGGGTTCTTACTGCTCTTATAACATTCCATACATCAATTGTATCAAGCATATTTGTACATATGTGCCATCATCATTTCCAAGACATTTTCTTTCTACTTGAGCTCTTGGTATCAGTCCCTCTTCCTCCTCTGCCACCCTCATGAATCCTTGATCAATTATATATTGTTATTATTTTGTATCTTATACTGTTTATTGTCTCCCTTCACCCACATTTTGGTTATTGTCCCCCTTTTTTGGGGTGGGGGGAGCTATATATCCAATCTTGTCATGGGCTCCCCCTTTCTCCCAGACCATCCCCCTACCCTCGTGATATCACTACTCCCACTACTATTCCTGAGAGGTGTATCTTTCCTGAATTCCATGTGTTGAGAGCTCTTATCTGTACCAGTGTGTGTTCTCCAGTCTAGCCAGATTTGTAAGCTTAAACTGGGTCATGGTAGTGGTGGGGAGGAAGCATTCAAGAACCAGAGGAATGATGCTGTACTACACCTTGGTTGAATCATCCCTTATAACCCTTCTGTGGGGGGATATCCAATTGTCTACAGATGAGCTTTGGGTCTCCACTCCAACTCCCCTCTTTCACATCGATATACCAGTAGTTGTTTGTTTTGGATCTTTTAATGCCTGATGACTGATCCTGTTAACACCTCATGATCACACAGACTGATGTGCTTCTTTTATGTGGGCTTATTTGCTTCCCTGCTAGATGGTCGCTTGTTTCACTTCAAGCCTTTAAGACCCCAGATGCTATATCTTTTGATAGTCGGGCACCATCAGCTCTCTTCACCACATTTGCTTATGCACCCATTTTGCCGCCAGTAATCAGAAAGGTGAGTATCAAAGAGTGCCAGGTTATCAGAACAAAGTGTCTTGTGTTAAGAGAACCCTTGAGTAGAGACCCAAAGTCCATCTGCTTAGAGGTAAAGTGACTGACCCTAACCCCCACTGCTAGTACGTGCTGGAGCAGAGAATCAGACTCAGGCATTGCAGCTTTAGAGTCCTTGCTATTAACCATTATTCTGAAGTACCTACTGACTCCTGATGTTACTGTTATCTAGGGGAAGGCCTATTTCATTGTCATAATCTCTGAAATGAGAGGTGGGGAGGCCCACTACTGTGTCTACAATAATCTAACTGAGCATTTCTTGAATCTAGACCAAGGTCTCATTTTCAAGGACATTATCTCTCAAGGGAGCCCAAGTAGCACAGTGGCTAAACACTCATCTGCTAAGCTGAACGTCAGTGGTTCAAAGCAACCAGCTATTCTGCAGGAGAAAGATATGGCATCTGTTTCAAAAAAGATTATAGACTTGGAAACCCTATGGGACAGTTCTACATTGTCCTATGAGCTAGAATTAACTCAGTGGCGATAGGTTTGGCTTATTTGTTTGCTTTTTAATAGTCTCATAATCTATGATCTTGAATAGAAAAAGAAAGAAAAGAAATGTGAGTTTCCCCCACCCAACCACCTGTTTATTTAGGATATTCATGCAGCACATACTAATGGGAATTGTCTTATGCAGGGCAAAGCATATGCCAAATCTTGGTGCTTTGTGATGCCCTGGGAATATGTTCTTTTCTTCTTTCCCTTTAGAAAGTGCAGAAGGTTTTCCAAGTTACGACACAGCTTCTGCACAGCTTCATGAAGCAGGCTACGATGCTTATATCACAGGACTGTGTTTCATCTCCATGGCAAACTATCTAGGTACTCATTGCACTGGTGTACACCATGTACACCACTGTTTGGAGGGGGTCTTACCTAAAAAGTGGGAAATTTTGAGACTACATTGAGAAGACTGGGGATTCGCTTGACATACCCTTGTTATATGCTGCTAGGTCCCATTCTGCTTATTTAAACTTATATACAATAATTTTACACTTTAAAGAATGTTATTAAGATATGTACAACAAAACCTGTGAGATTCAGCACCTATGTAATGCAGACACTTAATCTGAGAAGGAATACTCCTGTTTTCCTCTAATTACAGAGGCTAGAAGAGTGCTAAGACTGGACCTTGTTTGTCAAAGGTGGCAGACTTGTTAAGACCCAGAAGAACAAGGCAGGCCCACCCACTGATTTCTGGCTCTCACAGGTTGCGAAGTATAACCAAATGCTTTTCAATTCAATAATTTTGAATTATTAAATTCCGTAACCTTGGTAATATTCATCCTGTCTTTACCACCATTGCCACCCTCCTTTTCCAAATTACTCCACCATTAGCTAGATTTAAATGAGCTCTGGCAGGGCCGTGGATTCATGTTGGGCTGCTAACCAAAAGGTCAGCAGTTCAAATCTACCAGCTACTCCAAGGGAGAAAGGTGATGCTTTCTTCTCCTGTAAAGATTTGCAGTCTTGAAAACCCTTCCCTACAGGGCTGCTGTCAGTCAGAATGGATTTGATGGCAGTGAGTTTGGGTTTGTTTGTTGACAGTAACTTTCTGGTGGTGTTGGCATGAATGAGCATCATCTTCTGCTTTTTTTCTTTATTAGGTTCTTTTCTCAGTCCTCCAGAAATTCACGTGTCTGCCAAATCCAAGCTCATTGAACCTTTCTATAACAAGTAAGTCATTACAGGCCCCTGATCCCCAAGGCTTCTTTCCTTGCAGAGAAGCCAGCGTTTGGGATGTCATTTGGAGGTTACTGGAAGGCACAATGTATTTTCAGATAAATTATTTCTCCATTTTTATGACTCATATTTTTAGAAAATACAAGGGTATTTT